GAAATATCAATGTGAGAAAGAAACTTTGATTGGTTGTCTCTTGTACACACTCTGACCAGGGACCAGACCTGCAACCCAAGCATGTGCCCTGACTGGGAATTGAACCAGTGACGTTTCACTTTGTGGGATGATGCCTAACTAACTGAGCCACCCCAGTCAGGGCAAAACTATAAAACTCTGAGAAGGACACACAGCTGTAAATCTTTTGACCTTGGATTAGGCAGTAATTTTTTAGATATAACACCAAAACCACAAGTAACAAAGATAAAATAGATGAATTGGATCTTTTTGTGCTTCAAAGAACACCATCAAGAAAGTGAAAACAATCCAAGAATGGGGGGATATTTTGTAAATCACGAATATGCTAAAGAACTTGAATCCAGAATATAGAAAGAACTTTTCCAACTCAATAGAAAAGACAAATGGCCCAATTTAAAAAACGGGCAAAGGGTCTGAATACACTTTTCTTCAAAGAAGATATACAAATGTCCAGTAAGCACATGAAAAGACGCTGAACATCATTAGCTGAGAGAAATGCAAATCAAAACCACAATATGATACTACTTCACACCCATTAAGATGGCTATAATAAAAAAAATAACAATAAATGTCATGGATTTGAGAAATTGAAACCATTATACACTGCTGGTGGGCTTTTTAAATGAGGCAGTTAATTCGGAAACAGTCGGACAATTCCTCAAACAATTAAACACAGAGTCTCCATATGACTCAGCAATTCTAATCCTAGGTATAAACCCAAGGTAAAAGAAAACATGAACACAAATTTGCATATAAACACTTACAGCAGCATTATTTATAATAGCCAAAAAGCGGAAACAGCCTAAATGTCTATCAACTGATGAATGGATACGCAAATTGTGGTATTCATACAATGGAGTATTATTCACAAGTAAAAAGGAATGGAGCGCTGATAAATGCGTTAGCACGGGTGAACCTTGAACACATTATGCTAAGGGAAAGAAGTCAACACAAAAGGACACATAATGTATGATTCCATTCACATGAAGTATCCCGAATGGGCATATTTATTTTGTGGATTAGTAAACTGCTGGGACTGGATTTGAGGTTGTGGGGGTGGGGAGTGACTGCTAATGGGTTTGAGGTTTCTATTCGGAGAGATGAAAATGTTTTAAAATTGTGATGATGGTTGCACAACCATGTGAATATAGTTAAAACCATTGAATTACACACTTTAAATTGTATTATATGCAAATTATATCTCATTAAAGCTGTTATTAAAAATACAAATTACCAAGAAGCACATGAAAAAACTCCTAATTCATTTGCCTTCAACCAAAAAAAAAAAATTAAATTACTGCAAGGTACCATATCTGTCACCAAAGTTTGGAAATTAAACACGTGTTTGTGTGTGTATTAAATGAGATTTATTTGTAAACTGCGAAGAGCTATTCAGAGGTGAACAGTGTCTATCATGTATGTTTTGGTTTGCTTCTCAAGTTCTGAATATCTCATTGTGGATCCAAAGTACAGAGAATTCAAGTTACAGATATTCTAATCCATGCCTTTGTCCAAAGAAACAAAAGTCTTTGCAGTTTTACTCAAATGTACAAATTAAGAAAACAAAACTGGATTCAATGAAAAATGACCCACTTTCCCTCCTCTGCTGAAGGACACTAGAAGCGTCTGCGCTTTATCTCCTCGGATGGCAGGTTAAGTAACAGCAGCCACTCCCAATGCACCAGAGTAGCCTGGTGTGTCCCAAATGTGTTGTGTGACATTTGTGAGTGCTGTAGTGGTCCCCTCGAGAAAACACAGCTATCTTGTGCACCAGCCTATTGCTTCTATAAATTAGTTTCAATCTCAACATTCTTTCACTGAAGTAGGAAATGGAGAACTCTCTCCCTTTCCACATCAAATTCAAAAGTATCCACACATTGTAGAGGAGTGAATAGCATGTTGCAAAATGAGTTGCATACTGTATAGACAAATGAAGCCCCGAACCCAGCCCCCACACAATGATTTCAGAGAAATTCGAGGTTCCAGAGGGAGTCTCATCTTGAGTCAAACAGTTATCTTACCTAGAAGAACTTCTGAAATATATTTATCTTTATGTAAGCTTTGCCTTTCAGAATAATTACTAGTAGAAACAGATCAATGACAACTCAATATAGAGGATTATTGCTCATCTAACTTGCTTTAAATGCCTGAAGGGTTTACTGTTGACTCTTTGTACAAATATAAATACCCCCACGGAGCTTTTACTATTATAAACCATTTTCTGGAAATAATTTGACATGTGCTATTATATCCTAATAATATTCTTTACATATATTAAACCATTTAGTGCCAAAGGTACTAAATGCTGAAGGTATTATTAAAATACCCGTGTTACAGTCAAGGAAACTAAGGCACAGAGCTATTAGGTAACTTGAATATTGAGGCTGGACAGGATTTCGTCCTGGTTAAAGCTTGTTACTTGTGGTGCTCTTCCTGCACATCCCCACACCTTCTTCCCCGTAATATAAGGTCTGGTCTAAGTTTAGAAGCTAGTGTTAAATAACTATTCAGCACCAGATCCCTTCTTTTGAAACAAAGAACAAAATTTCTTTTCCAAAAAACAGTAGCTGAAGAGAAAACCTGACAGTTCTTTTGTCTTGACTCTTCCTGCTAAGGAACCTTCCCAAGTGTCAACTCTATTTTCTTTGTTTCAGAAACATTTTAGAACAATTCATAACTCAGAGCAGCCTTTTTCAGCCGGTGTGCCACAGCACAATGGTGTGCTGCAAGAATTTTTAAAACATGCAATACCTGACTATTTAGTTAGGGGCACTGACCTCGTTGTCAAATAAAAGAACGACAACAGCCAACACAACAACAGCCATCCAGTGTGACTGAATCAAAATTGTACCTGTTTTCTTTGTCAGATTGACAAAAAATATAATACATTCTTGGTGTGCTGCAGAATTTTAGTTTATGTGTGTCAAGAGAAGAAAAAGGTTGACAACTGCTGACTTAGAGCAACTATGCAAGCCCTGGAATTCCATGTCAGCTGTGTGTTATGCCCACGAATTTGTAAATTAGTCAAGCTTTGTCAGTTCACAGGAGTGCACATGTAAAATAAACAACTCTGATAAATATTGGTAAATTCAAACCATAGCATAAGCTTGAAATTTTTTTCCCCTAGATGGATAATCATTTGTATACATCCAGAGACGGAACCCAGTAAGTAAAAATAGCTGTGAAATTTGCTAAAACTGAAACAGTGTGCACACCTTTTTCAGCAGAGCAAAATGGGATAATTTATCAAAGCAGAATTTTAATTAAATTGGAAATGGAAATTTTCTATCAAAATGGAAAATGTCAGTTTCCCCTAACAAGTATAATCTAAATATACTTAACTGGCTATTTCTTTCACACATTCTCAATTAGAGTATTGATTAGTAGCTGATGAAATATGGAAACTACTGAGAATCATATCCCAAAACTCCTTATCAATTTAGGCATTTCCCCAAACTCCTTACCAACTAAGAAGCTTCTTGCATAGTTATTCCAGTTTTTAAATGATGACTTTCATTAACATTTCTAAGAGAAATAAAATACCATGCTGCATATTATTGTGTAACTGTGTTATTGTAACAATTCTCAAAATTTCAGTACCCATCACTAACCCCTTAAATGCTGTATCATTTGAGTTTTCTGTGTTCGTAGGATGTTGTTAATAATGAAACTATGAAAAATTTCCACCTGGTATTTCTAATGCTCTATGGAAGATGGCAATGGAATAGTTTTTCATTTGAAGGATTTCTTAAACAGGCTCATTTTCCTATAGGAAGATTTAAAAAAAATCATGATGATTCATGATAACCAAGAATTTTCTGGTGGTTGTTGGAGGGGATAATTTTTCATAGCTTCATCGAGGTAAAATTGATATATATTAAGTTGCACATACTTACAGTGAAGCACTTGATGAGTTTTGACATATGTATATACTTGTGAAGTTATCACCACAATCAAGATAATAAACATGTCCATTATAATTTTTGAAGATATCAATAATGTAAAATTTTGGGGATCATTATTTCCTCAGGGACATCTGCCACAAGTAGGGCATATTTATTCTCTATTGTGTGAACACATTTTCTCTAATTTATTGACACATCTTTTGAACAGTAATGTACTAGGAAAACAAAGGTTGGGCAAAATTTAGGCGTTTAAATTTCAGCATTATTGAGGAACATCTGAATGGTGCTGAAGTGGAATATAAAAATCTACAGGTATGAAATCCTCAATATGTCTATGGTGACTTGGCAGTCCCTCAAACCATCACAGATCGTCAGCACATGTCCCACCATTTCTAGAGAAGGAGCAGCAGATAAGCAGATTCGTCCACCCTCTGTGTTGTACTGAACCTTATTTTTTTTCCAGCCACGTTATTTTATAGACAACTTAAGAAGCAGAAGAGCAGAAGTCTTACTTGGAAAGATGGGGCTAAATATGGGAATAGTACAAGACAAGTCACCTCTCTTTGAGTTTCGGTTTTTATGTCATCTATCTTCTACTTCATCAGAGAGGGCTGTAAAGGGGGGAAAAAAGGAAAGAAAAAAAGCAGCAGCAGAAGCATCAAGCAATAAAATAGCACAAAAAATAGTATAATCACAGACAGCTTCTAATTTGTATGGCTTTGGCTCAGTGTTTCTAAAAGGAAACATAGCTGCTTTTTGTCCTTCCTGCTGCATCCTATTTTCTCTCAGTGCTGGTAGGGATGAGGTCTGATAACCTCCCCCCGACCGCCCCCGCCCCCCGATGGATTTCTTGATAGCTTTGTCCTGTACTCCACTACTTTCGGCCCTGTTCTGGAAACAAACTTTAGGACGCAGCGTTTAAGCTCGGGGTTGCACATGCCCCTTTCTCCACCTGCTAACACCCATCTATCTCCACCCCTCCTCAGCTAGACCTGCACCCCCCTCCGCAGCTGATCGTGGTTCCCCTCAGAACTGTGGTCTTGAGGTCTCCAGCTTCCGTTCTCTGCCCCAGTTCCCAGGACAGCAGTCCGGGCTTAACTTTGTGAGTTGGGGGCAGGGGCGGCTTGCCTAATCAGTCACGCTCCAGCTGGGGGTGGTTTCTACCTGCGCATCCTCTCCTTTGATTCCTCCCCAAATGAGATTAAGATTCAAGTCGATTTGGCACATCCCGGAAGCAGGGCCTAACGTTTGCAGGCCCGGGGCTTCCATGTGCGGAGGAAGACTCGGCTGAAGCAGGCCATTTTCACCTGCGTAATAACAGGCTGGAAGCGGCGAGGCAGCTGCGCGGCGGTGAGTGGAGTAGGAGGAGGCGCGCTGGCGGCGGCGGGGCCGGGAGGAAGAGGAGGGGGAGGAGGAGGAGCTGAAGCCGGGAGAGCGACAGGCAGCAGCTCGGCCGGAGTTGCAGCTGCGGCGGCGGCGGCGGCGCTCACACCGCAGCCTCCCCAAGCCCGGAGTCCCGGCGGGGCAGCATCAGGGAGCGCCCGCCCGTCCAGCCACCGCACTTCGGCCCAGCCAAGCCGCCGTCGCCGCGCCCGGGGGACCGCCAGCCATGGCCGCGCCGCCGTATCCCCAAGAAGAGCTGCTGCCGCTGGCCGGCCCTGGGTCCCAGTGGTTCGGGGACCGGGGGGAGGGGGAGGACGAAACGGTGACGCCGAAAGGGGCCAAGCCGGCGCCGCAGGCGGGGGAGTCCGGCCAGGGGTTGGGCGCCGGGGCTGGAGAAGCGGCGCCGGGAGAACCGGGCTCGAGCCCCGCCTGGTCGCCGCCCGTTGCTATGGAAACTGCATCCACAGGTAAGGCGGGCGGGCGCCGCTGCCCCGCAAATGGCGTCCGGGACCGGGGTTCCCCAGCCTGTCCCCTAGCCGGTCCCTTCTCCGCAGCTCGCCTCTGCACCTTCCTCGCGCTCTCTAGCTTGAGCACCATCTCACCTCCCCCTTAACCCCCCGCTTCGCCACAGGCGACTGTAAATATTAGCGGATCCATAGGAGACCTGAATTTTATTTTTCCAAAAACTCGGAAGAAAACAAAATACTGTTGATTCTTTCATTTAATGATCATCATTATTTCGGCTTTTGAAATAGTCCTTCCTCATAGGCAAACCGTAGCATCCTGGCGGTGGAGAGCCGTGCACAAGTTTCTTCCTTCTGCCAAGGGGCTGGGGGCTCTGGGGGCCTCTTGGCCAGTTTCGGTGATTTCGGGTTGGGGGCGTGTTTGCGCTAAGCGCCAGTGACGGGAACGCTGACAACAAAGTGACTGGCAGGCCCGCCGCTCCTAAACCCGGCTCTGTCTGGGGCAGAGATGTGGCTTTAACTGTCCCTTACCCTTTCCATCCTTGAATCGCCACACCCTGCTCTCCCTGTTCCCCCTTCCATCCTCCATCTCTCTCTCCCTCAAACCTCGCAGAAAACACAAATCCCAAGGTGTGTCTGTTTAATTCAGAAGGGACAGCGTTGTAAGAGGGTTGGGAGTTAATGGCAGCCCCCGCCCCAAACCTTTTCGTTCCCAGCTGCCAGGATGCTCCCATCTTGCAGGGAGCATTGAAACTTGGAACTCCTTGGAGTGGCCGGCCTGGCTGTGTTGTTAAAGGACTTGCTTGGTGGTGAGTGGACGAGGTGCAGTTTACCGGCAGTCTGGATCCGCCCGGGCTTTTGAAAATTGTCCTGGGTTCGGCCTCCCTTCGCCTGACTCCCCCGCTTACGATCCAGAGCGCGCAGGTGCCCAGAGGGGACCCGGGGCTCTGGGGCCTCCTGGCCAAAGGAGGCCGGGTGGGGGTGGGGGGGGGGGCGGTTTGAAGAGGAGCTGCCGGCCTGTTCAGCGCTGTGTTTCCAGGGAGTGGGGTAGAGGGTGCTGTGTTGTGTTGTTGCCTGAGAGAGCTTTGTTGTAAAATAGGAGTACTGTGTAGTTTTGGAAATAGAGCTTTGGAAGGCCTGAGCCTGGAGACTCCCAGAGGGAGGGGAAGGGCAGCGGGACTGGCATTTGTGCCCTCCGCAGCTGATACAGGGGACCTCCTCTCTTAAGGGTCATGCGAAGGGGCCATAGGCAGCTTGAACTGTGCTCCAGTACAAGATTTGGTCTGAAACAAAGAGGTTTGGGGAGTACGTTGAATAAAACGTCAACATTCTGAAGGGGAGAGAAAAAGTGGGGACCATATGCAAGCAAAACAAGACAAGAAAGACTTAAATCAGAAAAACCCATTTGTCATATATTTATTTTATGGGGAAAGGGGAAGAGGATTTAAGACTAAGAATGGTTGGCTGCCTAGCCTGTCTTTTAACTTCATCTAAATATAGAGAAAACAAAACTCTTTATAATTGCAAAATAAGATGGCAAAAGATAATAGGTAAATGAAGGTAACTTTTTGTTGGCTTACCATTACCATTCTTTGTTGAGGGTAGCTCACTGTTCAGAACCTTTATCCACCATCATCAAAGTAAATTATTTTTTATAGTCGTGGCCCACCTCCTGTTAGTGTCCTTAAAGTCCTGTGAATTAGGGAAAGGAAGCTAAATGTCCCATGTTCAGTAACATACTGCCCACTGAAATGAGTTGCTGTATATAAAATGCTTAGAACTCTGGCTGTCACAAAGCAGGCATTTTCAGTCTTTAACATCATCATCATCATCATTATTGTAGAAAGTTTACTTTGTTAACGGTCACAGGTGTATCCTATTATAGGCAACAAATAAACACTAATAAAACCAAACATGATATTAAGTCTGGTTGGGAGGAAAATGAAGGGAGGGGGAAAGGAGCATATATTTTATAGAAATAAAATTTTGTTTTATAGCACATATTTATATACACTTTTTAGTTTATTATTTCTGAAGGAATTTCTTACATAGCTGTTTATTGTTTAATGTTTTAAACCTGTATGTTTCTTATTGGTAGACTGGATGGGCTGTTATAAGAGACCCAGATGCCAGAAACGATATCTAAGTAATTAATTGGATCTTGAGAAATCCAAATAGAACCTAGGCCAGCTTTCTTTCTTTCAATTTTGGCAGGTCTATCGTTATAAGCAAAGTCAGCTGGTGCATCTTCAGCTTTATCAGATACAAAATCCAGAGGAAGCCTATTAAGCACACAGCTTTACTTCTTTAGAAGAATGGCCCTCTTTGGGACTCAAATCAAACTAAGAAGTAACTCAGACTTTGTCATGATGAACTGTAAACAGATTTTGTTTCTTTTTCAGATGGAATTATACAGTGTAAGACAGATATTGATGTTTTAAAAACTTTATTTTTTCCTGAAAAACACCACCAATCACGCCATCTGGACAAAAATTCTGTTATTTATTTTTATACATTAATGGAAATTAAAGTTCCTAAGGAAACATTTCCAAAAATATTTCTCAGTAGTGTCCTAGAATGAATATATGTTTAAATATCATTAAAGCTGCGCTGGGAAACCCCATCAGGACCATACTTGCAGGTATTCTTACTGCTTCTGTCCCTTTTGTGGTATAACATTCTTAATGAAAAGTAACATTTTCTTTAATCTTTCATGTCTAAAATTTATAATGGCCATGTGAAATGATATCTATTGCCAAGGGAACTGTTAATACACCATGTGTAGGCTACAACATGTAGGAGCTGTTAATTAGGAATCAGTGCCATCACCCAATAACTTTATACAAAGGATGTTAAAAGCAACTGTTTTGTTATTTTCATGATGAGTTATTCCTGGAAACTATTCAAAAGGAGCATGGAATAACACAAGAATAGAAGAATGGCCTTTGTTTAAAGGAAGAATTTAAAATAGAACATTTGAACAAAATGCAGTGGTAAGACGTCAACTCATTGCTTGCTTTGGAAATTAACTCATTGACTGCTTCGCGCTTGGAAGACAGAATGAGGAACAGAGTGGTGAATGGTCTGGAGAAATCCGTCCAGTAGGATTTGTTTCATTCATATTGACTTGTAGATAATTTGACTTAAATTTCTAGCTGATTGATTAAAAAAAGAGATTTTCCCAATTTACCTTATTTGGCCCACAGTGTTCATAAATTTATATTTTTCAAATGCTAACTATGATGCTCTATTGGAAAAACTATTCTTAGTCTATAATGATTTAAATAACTTTCAGAATGATTATATATCTATGTTTATTCTGTTTAATATTAATTGTATGATACACATTGCCAATAATCTTCTAAAATCCATGTGGAGGCTGACTGACTGTCTTTATTTGTAGATGTGTTTGATAGATGTGTGCCCACTTTTCTATTTGGAGACATTCCTAGTAATCCATTACAGAAGGTATAAATTTCAGTCTTCTGATTTCTTTCATTTTTTTTTTAAAGGTTTTATTTATGTATTTTTAGAGAGAGGGGAAGGGAGGGAGGGAAGCATTCATGTGTTGTTACCTCTCGTGCGCCCCCTACTGGGGGCCTGGCCCACAACTCCAGCATGTGCCCTGACTGGGAATTGAACCTCTGATCTTTTGGTTCACAGGCTCGTGTTCAATCCACTGAGCCACGCCAGCCAGGGCTGATTTCTTTCATCTTTAGAGAAAGCAACAGTTATCTTGAAATGGAAACCAACACTGCATTTTCTTTTACATTATATTACAGAACATATAAGAAGAATAAAAGAGTTTCTAACACACTTTAATTCTCTGGTATAGCCTCTGGATATAATTGGTAACATTTCTGATACTAAGTATAGTATATGCCATTTCATATAGGGAATTGAAATTAGATTAAAGTGAAGTTTAGAAACACATACCCTAAAAATACATCGATAAACTTTATCAAGGCTTTCAGCATAATTTCCTCCTCATGAATTTCCTGTTCCAGGAAACTCATCCTGCTCATTGCTCCTCAAATACACCAAAGGCCTTTCTGCCCCCTTCTTTTTTTCTAGGCTGTCCATGTACTTCTTATTCTGAGGGTTTGGAGAGGAGTTGTGGATTCTTTTGCTCAACGTACAGTCCATCCTGGATGGCACAGATGATGGAAAGTTTTTATTATCTGTAAAGTAAAAAACCATTGTGGTTTAATTCAGTTTAATAACCTTTTCCTTTGTGTAAGAATCTGTGCTAAACCCAAGTTATAGTTTCCTAGAACATGTGCATCTTTCTGCTTCACATTAGTATGTGGTTTAAACAGTTCTTTTATGTCACTTTTCCTTTTTCTCATTCTCAAGTCATTGCTGGGAGCTGGGCTAGAAGGGCATTATAATAACCTGACCGCATGGGCACAAGGGTATGAGTTAGTTTTCTGAGGTCAACACAGGGTAAATAAATATAAGCACAACTTGCTTAGACAACATACTTGGGGAAAATAAAAAAAC